GACCCTTCTTCAGAAAAAGGTCTAGGCCCGAAACGTCAGCCTTCCTGCTCGTCTGATGCTGCTTGGCCTGCTGTGTTCATCCAGGTCTACACCTTGTTATCTCAGAAGAAATCAGTTCAGTGGGTCAGGCAGAGGTGGAAACAATAGGTCTACAGTGCATCCTCTTTAGTGAGCTTGAGAAGGAGGGAGAATAAGCCATACAAGGTTGGGGAATAATGTAGGAAGGGTCTTAAATCAATTTAAAGTGATTGGCAAAAGAACTAACATGAAATATGCAGCAAGTGGCGGGAATGCAATTAAGGTTTACCAGACTTGTTTTAGGATAGTGTGATTGTCCTATGAAGAGTGGTTGGGCAATTTGGGCTTGTATTCTCTCGAGTTTTCAAGAATGGTAGGTGACTTCATTGAAAGCGACAATATACTTCTAGGGATGGACAGAATATTTTACCTGATTGGTGAGGATAAAACAAGGGGTTGAAAATTTTAAAAAATGGCAGATGTCACTTTAAGCCAAGATGAGGAGAAAGTATTTTACTCAGAGGGCTGTGAACCTTTGGTGCTCTCTTCAATTAAGGGCTCAGCCTTTAAGTATGTTTAAGGTAGAGATTGATACACACCCATTCCCTGTGGCTTACAGCGTTAAGGGGATTGGGTGTGGGTGATGAATAAAAGACATTGAAATGTTTGATTAGCCGTGATTGTATTGAATGACAAGGTTGGCTCAATAACCAGAATGGCCTCATCCTATTTCTAGTGCAAAGCTTGTGAGGTTAATGGGATGGCTACTAGGAAGATGATGTGGATATTTGATGCCTCAGAAACATGTTCAGGCTGAAGCTGGATGCCACTGGCAGATGAGCACTCATTGTTGCTTTGTGTCATGCTGAAAATTGAAAGTGGGTAATGGGGAAGAAAATGGCCGTGGGTACACTTGGAATGAGCAGGGTTAGTGACTCAAGTTGTGAAGGAAAGGTCTGCAACAAACATCGATCATAAAGCTCTTAAAGGGAAACAAAGTAAGTCATAGACCCATGCACTACACAGCACACAGGCACACAGACCAGTCTAAACATTGAACCCTTCTGTACATTGCACCTCCCCAGCAAAGCCAATGCTTTGACAGCTACACTTTTGAGTACAGAGGGAGCCAAACACGAAAGATGTTGAATGAGGAGCTACAAACTTGTTACCATGATGCAATGCCACGTGTACACGTTGTTCCCTGTGCTACCGAATGATGCAGAAGGCTCTCAGTGCATGGAACCTCATGTGTAGCCACTTAGAGCTGCTGGAAGGTGTGAAGATGTGTTTAGTGCCTCTACTAAGACACTTTAGAGGTAACAACAGGAACATTTTTGTAGACAATGATAGTGGTGTTTTTCTGACCCATGCCATCAAAAGTGCACCCAAAAGGTTTTTTTCTTTAGCTCCCTCCCACTATCTGTCAGTGTAGTCCCAGTGTAGGAGGGTTGGTGGAAGCCACTTTGAAGTGGAGACTACTGGCTCTGGAGTTTAGATGCAATAACTCTGGGTGTGCTTGCATCTAGACAAGCCACACACCAGGTGTTTTCTTGCTCCACTTGAGCTTCCAACGATCAGTGTGGAGCAAGCAGGTGGAGATGGAAGGCCCTGTCAACTCTGTAGTGTCCTGAGTAGATAATGCAAAGATGCCTATGTGTGTTTCAACCTTCAGTTGCGTCGTCTGGTGCCACATTAATCCTTGTTAAGTAGGGCATCTGGACTGAGGTCAAGTTTCCAACACCAAACCTCACTGGACCTGGGGATTAATGAGTGGGTTGATAGAGTGTAGGTGTATGTGCATCTCCAGCAAATCCTGAGGTTGTTGGGCCTGATTCTCCATGGCAATCGCCAACCTCTCCATAGAGGCAGACAGATGATCACATGATTCTGTGTACTGCTGCAGCTTTTGGGTGATAAGTGCCATTGTGTCTCATATGCCTGTCAGCCATTGCAGCTCCCCCTTGTGCAGTAGGATGAAGTCCTTGATTGCTGATACCACAGAGTAATCTCTTCCCTGGGGCTGAGCAAATGTCTGGTCTTCAGAAGTCCTCTTAGTGCCAGTGACCTGGGGCATTTCTTCCTTAGCCAGCTGCAGGGATGTCACAGTGAGGTGCTCACCAGATTGTGTTCCTACACTTTCTATATCTATGGTTCCTCCCTGAGGTTTCAGCATCAGGGCTGGTGAGGAATGCAGGATGCAGCCTTGCTGATGCTATTTCTAAGGCCTCGGGACTCTTGACCTCAGAGATCAAGGATGGCAGTTCTGATGGAGTCAGGTGTTACTCCACAGAGGTCAAGTGCAGGCTAAGTGGAACCTGCAAGGATAAATATTTTGAAAGTAGTGCGCGCTGGTTGAGAGTGACAGTCCAATGATATGTGAAAGTTGCAGTTGAATGAAGAGCAGTATTACTTATTTGGCAGGACATGGATATATCTACAAACTCATAGGAGCTGTCCCAGTCTTTGCTTTGTATGGGGTAAGGATACAAATGTCAGAGACCCCTCCATCCGTTTGGACTCTCTCTTCCCTGTTATAGAGTCATGGAGTCATACAGCATGGAAACAGACCTTTCGGTTCAACTAGTCCATGCCATGTTCCCTAAAAAAAAGACCCACTTGCCTGTATTTGGCCTTATCCCTCCAAACCTTTCCTATTCATCAACTTATATCCAAGTGTCTTTTAAATGTTGTAACTGTACCTGCATCCACCACTTCTTCTGGCAGTTCATTCCACACATTTCTTTCATAATGAGGAAAAGGGGGCCAAAATTATTTGATTAAAATGAGATGTTGGTGTGCAGAGGACAATTTCAAAGTTTTCGGATGACACAAAACTTGGAACAATTGTAAGGAGGCTTGGCGAGTGAAGAGTAATTGTGAGGAGGATAGTGTAGAATTCCTGAAGACATAAATAAGTTGATGGAGTGGACAAACTGGTGGCAGATGAGTTTCAATACAGAGAAGTGTGAGCTAATGCATTTTGGTAGGAAGAACATTGAAAGAAAATATAAAATAGGGGGTACAATTCACGGGTGGTGGGGGTGTGGTGGTGAATGCAGAAGCAGAGGAACCCAGGTGAATATGTGCACATATCATTTAACATGGCTGGACAGGCAGAGAGAGCAGTTAATAAAACATACAGTATCTTAGTATTTATCAATGAGTACAACAGCAAGGAAATGATATTGAACTTCTACAAGATATTTGTTAGACATTTTTTGGAGGATTGTGTACAGTTCTTTTATAGAAGTATGTGTTTGCACATTATAGAGAGTGCCAAAGCAGTCAGCAAGAATGGTTCCAGGGATGAGGAACTTGCGTTGTGAGAATAGATTGGAGAAGTTGGGACTGTTTTCTTTGGAGAAAAGGAGGCTAAGAGAAGATCTGATAAAGGTTTTGAAAATCATGAGTGGCCTGTATAGAGTAGATAGAGATGAAATGTTCCTGTTCATAAAAGGAATAAAAAGAAGGGGACATTGATCTAAATTGATCTGCAAAATAAGCAAGGGTGAAGTAATGAAAATGTTTACACTCAGTGAGTAGTTAGGGTGTGGAATTCATTGCCTGGAAGTGTGGTGAAGACAGGTACAATTGAGATATTCAAGAGTGCATTGGATGATTATTTGGATAAATAAAACGTAAGGGTATGAGGAGAAAGTAGGACTAGGCAGCACTAGGTAATGATGCTCATTTAACGACATGGTTCAGGCATAAAGGATTGAATGACCTCCTTTTCTGACTCTCGGATCTCCGTGGGTGCCACTGCTGTTAGTTCTGGAGCATGTAGAGGAAAGGTGGTGGGTTTTCCTATAGGACTGAGGAGTCAGCCTGTTGTGAAAGAGGGAAGGTGTTGCATGTTGTGGTAAGAATGGCAGAGCATGATCATTGGTGAGAGATGGGTGCAGAGGCAGAGAAACAGCAAATGTGAAGTGGCAGAAAGCAAAGCATGGCACTCTTCTGCTGGTCCTCTGGGGAGAGTTTGCCTCTTCGCTGGATGACTGTCTACCAGGATCTCCAAGTCCCCGTTGGAGAATCACAGGACCATCTTCTCCTCATCTTATGTTCAGACTCCAGTCTTGACTGAGCGGGGCAGTCAATGCCAGGTTCACATCAGGCTTTTAAAGATGGCACAGGAGCAAGGGATGCTGTGTTTTGGCGGGTATCTGTTGAGTGATGAATTGTTCCAGAAATCACATGTGAGTGAGACCATAGATATAGGGTAGGTAATTAATTAGGTGAGTCTGGTAAGATGAGGTAAGAGAATACATGGCCTTGCAGCAAAAGTCCCTCCAAAAAACTTGATGAAACTCAGATTTAGCCCAGAAAGTGTCAGATACATCCATATGCATCCAGACATATCCATGTACATATCAAGAGAAAGTTTCCCATAGACTATAAGGCATAGAAGTAGAAGTAGTCCATTGAGTCTGCTCTGCCATTCAATGAGATTATGGCAGGACTGAGTAGTCCCTTGCATAGTTTTAGTGAAACCTCCCTACTTTGATACTCCATTCCCTTTGAAATAAAGGTAATCATTTCATTTGCCTTCTGACTATCTGCTGAGCTTCAATGTTAACTTTTTTGAATTTCAGCATAAAGACTCCCAAATCTTTTTGTTCCATAGATTTCTGTAGTCCTTCTCCATTTAAATAATATTCAACTCCTCTGCTCTTTCTGCCATATAACATAACCTCACATTTCTCCAAGTTAAATTGCATCTGCCAATTTTTTGTCTACTCGCTTAATCTGTCTATGTTCCTCTGTAGACTCTTTGTGTTATCCCCACCTTTTGCCCTCCCACCTACTTTTGTGTTATCCACAGAGTTGACTACGGCTCATGCACTTTCCTCATTCAAGTCATTAGTATATAATAAATAATTGTGGCTCAGCATTGATCCCTGTGGCACAGCACTAGTTAAAGGTTGCCATCCCAAATCTGTGTCTTCTATTAGTTTGTCAATCCTCTACCCATGACAACATAATATATGCAACACCATTTGCTATTTCCTCAGACTATTCTACCAAATTTGCCAAGTATGATTTCCCTTTCATGAAGTCATGCTGACTCTGCTTGATCATTTTATGCATTTCTAAATGGAATGTTATTACATCTTTTATAATTTAAAAAAAGTAAAGTTACTGTGGTCCCAGAGGACTATAGGGCTGCTGTCTCAGTTGTGAGAGACATCCTGTGGTGACTTAAACTGAGAATCACCATACTTCATGCAAGGGAGAAGTTGTGAAGGAGGGATGTTCATGGTAACCTTAGCCAGGACAAGATTCTAACATTTTCCCAATAATAGACATTAAGCCAACTGGCTTATAGTCACCTGTTTTTATGTCTTCTTCCTTTTCTGAATAAATGTGTTACATTGGCATTTTTTCAATCTTCTGGAACTTTTCCAGAATCTAAAGATTCTTGGACATTTACCTCCAGTGCACCCATTATCTCTGAATCAGGTCCAGGGGATTTATCTGCTTTTAGCCCCATTAATTTCCCTAGCACTTTTTCTCTATTGACAATTATTGTAATCATTTCCTCTCTTCATATGACCCTTGATTATTTAGCAATTTTGGAATGCTAATAGTGTCTTTTATTGTGAAGACTGATACAAAGTATTTATTTAGATTCTCTGCCATTTCCTGGTTTCCATTATTATTTCTTTAGCCTCATTCTCCATGGGGCATATGTTAACTTTGGTATCTCTCTTTTTCTGTACTTAAAGAAGCTCTTGCTGTCTGTCTTGATATTATTCACACATTTACACTCAAAGCTTATTTTCTTCCTCTTTATTTATTTGCCTATATAATAACTAGAAAGCAATTAACAGAGTTTGAATCTTCTTGCTTACTTCTCCAGAATAAATTTGGGCTATCAATTCACTTCCTATGATTTGCTTTGGTATTGTAAATATGATATTTGAACTAACAAGCAAGTGTGACAGACATGTGGACATGTGCTTCACGTGTGATATTTGAAATGTGTTGTATTCAGGTGGATTAATAATAGTTTATAAATGATATGCCAATCATTTATTCAGTTATATGTAATTATGTTAACTACACATTGTACATAATTTAAATAACTTTTTTTTTCCCAGTTCATCATTGTACCTCAAATAGCTGTGGAGATCTTGCAACCTGTGTTGAAAACTTCGAAGGCTATTTTTGTGAATGTGACTACAATTATTACTATAATGATACTAATAATACCTGTGTAAAAGGTAAGGATTAAACTGTTATTATCAGAAAAATTAGAAACTACACACATTGTTTACAAATACACTTCACGTAAAGTGTATCCTTTGCAAAATAATATCTCAAATTCCCATTTTGATCATTTTGAATATCTGTCTACAAACATAAAGAATATGTAAAAATAGAATTTATCTAATTTAGACTAGTTAATAGAGGTCTGGTTGACTGGAATTCAGGTTCACGAATTATGATATATTTTAGAAGAAAAAATCTTTAAAATGATATGGGGTCTAAGTAAAAGGACTAAAGTATGAAATCAGGAACATGATTAGACAAAATGAAGGTTCAGAAATAACTGAAGAGCAATGATAACCAGAATAGATGATATACCATTGTACTTGTTTAGGTACAAACATTGTTAATGTACTAGCATCTCAAGTGTAACGAAACAGATGTTGAAACTTATTGAGACACTTTGCAGGAGCATTCATCTTCACAGGCTCAGCTTGAATATTCTGTATTTGGGCAATGTCAAGGTCACAGAGATAGCACAGAAGGTTTGCTAGACACATTTAATGATGCAGTGAACCAGGCTTCATTCAGATGTCATGCAATTTTCCTGCATGAACTGAAAACTTTTTGTTATAAACTTCTAAAGAAAATCTTCAAATGTAAAGATGATGAACACTAATAAAACACATTCCAAAACCTTATATTAAGAAATTTCCTTGAACTGAATAACTGTGCCAGAATATAGTGCTGAAACAGACAAAGGACAAGAAATTGAGAAATAAGTTATTGTCATTTATAAATTAATATGCTACATATTCTAATATCTGAGCAGAAGATAAACAATTGATTGCCTTTTTTAATATCTAGGCCAGAGCTTTGGTGCAGAACTGACCCTGAAAATGGAATTTGTTCAAGCTATGACGAACAAAACATCCAAAGAATATATGGAACTTGAAAAAAATGTAACATCCTTTGTAAGTACTTGTAGCTGAATGCACAATGTTCAAAAAGAACTGAAAGAAACAAACCATTTTAAAAAAAAAACAAAATCAGCTGTGGCTACAAGAAGAGAGATGACTGGGTAGCATACTATGTTGAAACTTCAGCAGAATACACTGTGAATCTCAGGATAATGATTTCTAAATGGTGTCATAGAGCCATAGAGGTATACAGCACATACAAAAGGCCCCTTGGCCCATTGAGTCTATACTGGTCTAAAGCAATCACCTAACTAATCTAATTTCATTTTCCAGCACTTGGCCTATAGCCTTGTGTGCCTTGGCATCACAAGTGTACATCTAAATACTTCTTAAATGTTATAAGGATTTCTGCCTCAACCACCCTTCAAGAAGTGAGTTCCAGATTTCCACTGCCTCACATCCCCTCTAAACCTCTTTATTTTACCTTAAATCTACGTCACCAATCATTGATCCCTCCACCAAAGGGAAAAGGTTCATCCTGTCTATTCTGTCTATGCCAATCGTAATTTTATACATCTCAATCATGACCCCCCTCGGTCTCCTCTGCTCCAAGGAAAACCCTCTCCAGTGCAACCACATCCTCGAATAAATGTAAATTCCAGAATGGCACACAATACTCTAGCTATGACCTAACCAAAATTTTATACAATTCCAGCATCACCTCCCTGCTCGAAATTCTATGCCTTGGCTAATGAAAACAAATATCCCATATGCCTTCTTAACCACTTTAGCTACTCATCCTGCTATCTTAAGTGACCAGTGGACATGCACACCAAGGTTCCTCTGATTCTCGGTGCTTCCCAGATCTCTACTATACATCATGTATTTCTTTGCCTTGTTTGTCCTGCCCAAGTGCATCACTTTGCACGTATCCAGATTGAATTCCATTTACAACTGTCAGCCCAACTGACCAACCCATCCATATCCTCCTGTAATCTAAGGCTATCCTCCTCAGTATTTACCACTGCACCAATTTGTGTATTGTCATGAACAGTCACAAAAACCTTCCTCGACCATCACACTCTGCTTTCTGTCACTTAGCCAATTCTGTAACTAATTTATTAAATTTCTTTGGATCCCATGAGTTGTTACCTTCTCTCTCGGTCTCCCATGCAGGACCTTATCGAATGCCTTGCTCAAAACTAAGTAGGAAATGAAATTTATTGCCAGTACCTCTGCGGTTCCCTCCCTTCCACCAACAGCCTGCCATACGTTACATCTGGCCCTAGATATTTATTTATTTCAGACCTTCTCCCTGATTTCTACACCAACATTGTCCCTCTCACCAGTGAACACTGCCACAAAGTATTCATTTAGAGTTCTACCTACTGTCTCTGGCTCCATGCACAAATGACCACTTTGACCGGTAATAGGCCTTACTCTTTCTATAGTTATCCTTTGATCTTTAAAGTACCTGTAAAATAACTAAGGGTTTTCCTTTATTTTAATTGCCATTATTATTTCCAGTTCCGTTATGCTCTCCTAATTTCCTTTTCATGTTTCCTCTTGCATATTTTGTACTCCTCTAATGCTTCTGCTGTTTTGAGCTCTTGATGTTAGCCATAAGCAAATGCAAAGTTAATTTTAGAAAATTCTTGTGATGAAGCACAGAACAGAAGCTGGGCTGCTTCCACAGGAACAGAGTGGCTGGATAGTATGGGCACCAATATCTGCACCAATTTGGTGTCGTTAGCCCTCACTTATGAGTTATGATCTTTACGGAGATAGACTGCAACCAATCTTTTTGCACTATAGTTGACTGGCTCTCAATGCCGCCAGTCCAATCAGGGGGTGAGCATCTCCAGAGCCTTGGCAATCTCACCAGTAGAGATTGGTACTCCTGGTATAGGCTGCAGAAAGCAAGGATGCCTCAATGTGGTGGGGCCCTCAATGGCTGCTCATTAAAATTTAACCTTGATATAGATGCATAGCTAATTCAGGGTGGAGAGGAAAACCTTCTGCTGGATCAGTCAGTGGTTCATGCAGATCCTTTTTGCAGCATGGAGCGTTTGGTTCGGATGGCTGTTTGGCCTGAACACGACGGTCACTTCTGCAGGTAGAAGTGGGGGATCTCGACTGCTGGAGAATTGCTTGGGATGCTGTAAAATCTCTAACTCTGGCTTTCTCTATGCAAATTGATTCCCTACATCCACGTGGAAGGAGCTTACCCATTTTCTATCCCAAGACTGAAAAAACTCATCAATAGCAGGACTACATTGAATAGTCATCTCAACATTATTTTCCATCTCCCCATTATTTTCACACCCAGTCAACGTCCAAGTCAACCATCATGGGGCAATGAAAATTCATTCCATTTCTTCAATGAGATCCATTGCTCAATGTACCATTTAAAGGGTGTTTCTACTTCAGCATTAGTTGAGTTTTGGTACAAATTTGGTGACTAATTTCTTGAATTGAATTGGTAAAGGGATATGAAGAACATAAGATGGTGAAGCAGGAGTACGTCATAAGTCAGGTCCTCAAGCCTGCTTCTCAATTTAATAAGATCATGGCTAATCTTCAACTTAAAATCCATTTCTCACCTGATCCCCATATGCTTTGATTTCTGCAGTCTAAAAATCTATTAGCCTCAACAAATGAGTGTCCAGTGATCTCTAGGTAGAAAATTCCAAAGTTTCACTATCTTGTGTGTACAAAGTATTTTTTCTACATTGCAGTTAAGATTTATCATCCACTTTTTCTGAGACAATGCATTTTAGTTTTAATGTTTTTCAGTCAACAGAAATTGCTTCTCAACATCAACTCTGTCAAACTCTCTTAGAGTCTTACATGCTTCTTTGAGAACATCTCTCACTTGTACGCACGCCAGAGAATATAAGCCCATTCTACTCAATCTCATCTCAGGAACAGGGATTGAACCCTGTGCTTTTGGCACCAATCAGGTCCAAAACACTGACTGTCCAGTTGGGCCCACCCACCCTTATGAGACCGAGTTGCTATTATAATATACATGTTGGAGTTGTAATGGACAGTGAAGAAGGTTACCTCAGAGTACAACAGGATCTTGATCAGATGGGCTAACTAGCTGAGGAGTGGCAGATGGAGTTTAATTTAGATAAATGTGAGGTGCTACATTTCAGAAAGGCAAATCAGGGAAGGACTTATACACTTAATGATAAGGTTCTGGGAGTGTTGCTGAACAAAGAGACCTTGGAGTGCAGATTCGCTAGTTTCTTGGAATTGGAATCACAGGCAGATAGGATAGTGAAGAAGGTGTTTGGTATGCTTGCCTTTATTGGTCAGTGCATTGAGTATAGAGTTGGGAGGTCATTTTGCGGCTGTATAGGACACTGGTTCAGCTACTTTAGAGTATTGTGTGCAGTTATGGTCTCCCTGCTATAGGAAAGATGTTGCAAAACCTGATGGGATTCAGAAAAGATTGATGAGGATGTTGCCAGGGTTGGAGGTTTTGAGCTATAGGGAGAGGCTGAATAAGTTGGGGCTTTTTTCCCGGAGCATTGGTGGCTGAGGGGCGAGTTTGTAGAGGTTTATAAAATCAAGAGGGGCATGGGTCAGGTAAATAGACAAGGTCTTTTCCCCAGGACTAGGGAGTCCAGAATTGGAGGGCATAATTTTAAGATGAGGGGGGAAAGATTTAAAAGGGACCTAAGGGACAGCTTTTTCATGCAGAGGGCGGTGTTTGTATGGAATGAGATGCCAGAGGAAGTGGTGGAGGCTGGTATGATTACAACATTTAAAAGCATCTGGATGGGTATATGAATTGAAAAGGTTTAGAGGAAACGGGCCAAATTCTGGCAAAAGGGACTAGATTTATTTAGGATATCAGGTCAGCATGGACGGGTTGGACCGAAGGGTCTGTTTCCGTGCTGTACATCTCTGTGACTCTATTTACACATTCACATTGTAGCCTGAAGCGATAGATGGTGTTGGAACAGGCTCCAATTTCTTTCCATCACATAAAAACCTAAAGAAATGCGGATGCTGTAAATCTGAATCAAGAACAGAAGTTGTTGGAAAAGCTCAGCAGGTCTGGCAGCATCTGTGCAGATAAATCAGAGATAACGTTTCGGATCCAGTGACCCTTTCTCAGACCTGCTGAGCTTTTTCAGCAACTTCTGTTTTTGTTTCTTTCCATCACAGGGCAGACCAGGAATTTCACCCACTCTTATCACCTGTCATTGTCATATGTTAAAAGCATTTGCAGGTTTACATTTAACCTGTTTGAGGTCATATTATTAATGCACCTTCCTTGAGAATCAATTCCCAGAATGGATCTTGAACTGGAACTTTGGCTCAGACCATAAGATATTCCCAGCAAACCCTCTCTGAGGCAAATATTTCTTTCCTTCAGGAAGTAAACCAATATTGCACTATAAATAAATGTTATCTCACTAAAGACTGTTCAATTGCTATAAGACTTGTTATTCTTGTTCCTCAACGCCCTTATAACAACAACCAAGATGCTATCTGCTTTCCCATCCTGCATGTTAACTGACTGCATTGTTTAAACAGGACAGCTAAATTCCTGTGAACATGAAAACTTAACTATTTTTGTTTTTTTTCTGTTACTCCTGCCAAAGAGAATAAATTCACATTTCACTGCATAATACTTCAATCGTTGTATTCTTGGCCACTCATTACTTCTTCAGTCTCCTTCCTCATGACAAGGGTTTGATGCAATGTTGAACCAGTAGCTTCTTTGTAATCAACAACATTTTTGTGACTAGATTTTATTGGGTCCCTTTTAAATCTTTCTCCTCTCACCTTAAAAATGTGGCCCCTAGTTTTGAAATCCTCCATTCTAGGGAAAATATCTTTGTCATTCACCTTATCTATGCACCTCATGAAGGCATACATCAACACAGAGGATGCTATGGGGCACCAATAAGCCCTGGCCACATTCACTATTGATTGCAGGGCTCACAATTACTTTGAGGTAATAGTACTGTCATAGAAAGCCCCTACATCACCATTATGGATTCACTTGACCTATTGCAAGATATCACCTTGCAGCCATCTTGGGAGATATTTTAATTGGCGAAGTGAGGAAAGTTTGGGTCAATGTGGGCAAATAAACCCTTTAGGAGTGATGTTAGGTTAAGATCCTGACATCACCCTACTTACTTGTTTGTTTCACAGGGGCAGGCTTGTAGACAGATCCCTGAGTGTTAAGCATTCCACTTCTTAAACTAAGGGATGTTACTGCTTCCTGGATCAAATCATCCAACCTGATACCCTAATATATATTACTCCACAGACTTCAGCTCACAGAAGTTCTCTTTGAGTCTAGATCCTGCAGATGTAATGACAAGGCTCCTCACAATCTTTGACATGCTTCAATTGCAGCACAGCACTTGCACTGCTATCTCTATTTGTTGTTCTATCTACTTAATTGGTCTATCTATTTAATCAATTTTAGTATTTTGATTACTCGGTCCATTCTAAGTTAACAGTGGATGCATTTAAATTATTCAAATAGTTGTGGTTTAAATTGGTTAAATGGTTTAAAAGAAATAAGAATGAGAGGGCACAGGTTTAAAGTGATGAACAAATGAAGCAGTGGTGATGTGAGGAAAATACTTCTACACAGCGAGTAGTTAGGTTAATTAATGCAGTGCCTGGAAATGTGGTGGAGGCAGTTTGAATTGAGGCACTCAAGAGGGCATTGAATGTTTATGTGGATAGAAATAATGTGCAGGGATATAGGGAAAATGCAGAAGTTCAGTGTGAGGCAATATAACTGGTACAGGTACAATGGGCCAAATGGCCTCCACCTATGCTGTAACAATTCTGTGATTCAGTAGTTCCGGTTGCAGTAACATAACCCCTGTAAAGTACCGGAAGCAAAATATAGCTTTTGCTTCCCCCGTTTGTAACTAATTTCCAACATGTATCAAATTTCCAACAATTCCACTCTGAAGGGGAAGGGTAAAAGTGGATCAATAAAAAATGCAGTTAAAGGTATAATCAATTAATAATTAATGATGATTTAAGCTATATGTTCTAATAATATTTTAACTTTTTTACAGTTTACTGATTCATTTTCCTCGATTGAAGGCTACAGAAAAACTTTAATACTTGAAGTTAGGTAAGAATAAAATTTAAGTTTAAATATCTGTTATCTGTGAAATTAATTTGAAATATGGACAGGATCATACATACAATATTGATATACTAAAACAGGAAATAGGGAAATAAAATCCCCAAAATGAAGAGATGACATATCTAACAAAAGGAAAATCAATCTCATCAGTGCTGAATTATGTTTCACTGATTGTCATTGAAATTGATCTTTTAGTAATAATCCTGTTAAGGTCAGAAATGTTATTGTTAGGTTTGATAATTGCCCACATTGTTCTTTATTAGGTTTTAGAGTCATAAAGACATATAGCACAGAAACAGACACTTCAGTTCAACTTATCCACGCCAACCAAGTTTTCCAAACTGTACTAGTCTTGCCTCTATTTGGCCCATATCCCTCTAAACCTTTACTTTTCCTGTACCTGTCTAAATGTCTTTTAAATGTTGTAGCTCTACCTGCATCTATCACTTCCTCATTCCACATATGTACTACCCTCTGTGTGAAAAGGTTGCCCCTTAGTTCCCTCTTAAATCTTTCTCCTCTCACCTTTAAATTATGCCCGGAGATAGCAAGAACTGCAGATGCTGGAGTCAGAGTCAGTGTGGAGCTGGAGGAGCACAGCAGGTCATGCAGCATCAGAGGAACAAGAAAGTCAATGTATCGGGTCGGGACCATTCATCAGTCCTGATGGAGGGTCCTGACCTGAAATGTAGACCTTCCTGCTCATCTGATGCTGCCTGATCTGCTGTGTTCCTCCAGATCCACACTGTATTAAAATTATGCCCTCTAATTTTGAACTTCCCTACCTTAGGGAAAAGACCTTTGCTATTTACCTTATCTATGCCCCTCCTATGCTCCAGGGAAAAGAGTCACAGTCCATCCAGACACGCCTCATAACTCAAACCTTCCAGTCCCAGTAATATCCTTGTAAATCTTTTCTGCACACTCTGCAACTTAATATCCTTCCTATAGAACTGTGCACAGTACTCCAAAAGTGGCCTAATCAACATCCTATACAACCACAACCTCACATCCTAACTCCTATACTCAATGGTCTGAGCAATGAAGACAAACATGCCAAGTGCCTTCTTTACCATCCTGTTAACTTGTGATGCTACTTTCAAGGAACTCTGCACCTGAAACTTCCCAATAGAATACTATAGGAAAAGATGAAATACAGATGTTGGAAATGTTTTTAAACAATTGCATTTGAAGTAGATGGTCCTATCCCATGTGTTTATATCCATTTATGTTGCTATTATACTATCAATAAGGAATTACTATCAACAACTTGCATATATCACCCTTCATCTTGCAAAATGTTCTCTAAGCACTTCAGAGAAGCCTAATTAAACAAAAATTGACACTGAACCAAAGAAGCAGTTATTAAGAATGGTGAACAAAATTATAATTGAATAATGACTTGAAGGAGGAGATTCAAGTTAAGGAGCGAACTGGACAGTGATCTATTGCAGAAACAAATGGTGAAGGACAGAAATGACACTAACCTTTGGATAATTTCAGAAACTTTACTTACAGAAATGTACTTCTAATCTGCCATTACAATTTCAGTTTGTTACTAAATATAAGCCCAAGTAAATTTTCAATTAATATCCTCCATCTACATACGATTAAATACAATTAATAAATAATTAGCAGAGAAATAGAAAGTTTTAGGGATGGGCAATAAATGCTGCCCTAGCCAGAGGAGCCCACATCCTGTGATTGGTTTAAGGCAATGCTTCCAAAGATGGAGCAAAGTGTTTAGAGATATGCACCAGAAGTCAGAGTCAGAGAAACATAGAGTTCTTGGAGAGATGCAGGTCTTGAAAATTTATAGAAGTAGGAAAGGTAGATTTAGCACTTTGTGAGACTCAGAGCCAATATAGGCCGGTGCGCGCACAGTGTTGATGGGCAAAGTGGATGTAATGTGGCTTAGGATATATTTTGCAGAATTTGGATGAATCAACATTTATGGAGGGTGGAAATTGGAATGTTGACATGAAGAACACTGGAAATAGTAACACGTTAGGTGACAGAGATAAAGGTGAAAGTTTCAGGTGTAGATGGGCTGGGGCAGATGTTGACTTTGTTAATATAGTGAAGATGGAAGATTAGTTCTTGTGGTGGAGAGGGTACAAGAAAATTGTTCAGCTTCAGACCCACAGTAATGTGATGGATCTCACCTATTCTCTGAAATCACCTTGAACAAGTCACTCAGTTGTATTAAACCATGAGAGAAAATTAACAAGACTAAAACTGGATTAACTTCCCAGAGTCAATCTAGGCACCAGACATAAAAAAAGGCACACTCCAACTAAACAAACTGAGGACTTGCTCCAAAATTGGGAGACAAGTCAAGCAACAGCGTGAAGTAGCCAAACGCAACAAATCCTTACAGTCATGTCCCAGACTCCACTCAGCGGCAGGGGTCCAGTTGGAGGGAAATTGTTGGAGGCGGGTGAAGGGGTCTGTAGGACAAGGAGAGCACTCTTGTTTTCCAACAATTTTCCCTGATTCCTATTGACTTTAACTTTGCTGGGACTGCTTGATGTCAAATGTGGTCAAATGCAGCCTTGATGACAAGGGCAATCATTCTCAATCCACCTGTGGAATTCAGCTCTTTTGTCCATGTTTGAACCAAGGCTGTAGTGAGGTGAGGAGCCGAGAGGTACAGGCAGAACCCAAACTGAGCAGCTTATAGTTGAGCGAATACTGTATGGTAGGTCTGTTGATGACATCTTCTATCACTTCACTGATGATTGGCAGTACACGGATGGAGCAATATTGGCCAGGTTGGCTTTATCTTGCAATTTTCTACATGATTGGGTCGATGCCAGTGTTGTAGCTGTATGGAAACAGCTTAGCTAGGGGACCAGCTAGTACAAACCTTCAGTATTATTGCCAGAATGTTGTTAGGTTCCAGAGACTTTGCAGTATCAGTACCTTCAGTTGTTTCTCGATATCATATGGCGTGAATCTAGTTGGCTGAAGAATGGCATCTGTGATAATGTGGATTTCAGGACGAAGTCAAGATGGATCATCCACTCAACACTTCTGATTAAAGATTGTTGCAAATCTGTTAGCATCACCTTTTTGCACTGATGAGCTATGCTCCCCAATCATTGAGGATGGGGGTGTTTGTGTCGCCTAGTCCAGTGTGTTGTTTAATTATCCATCACCATTCACAACTGATTGTGGTAGGATTGCAGAGCTTAAATCTGATGTATGGGTAATGGGAACACTTAGTCTTATCACTTGCTGTTTGTGTTGTTTGGCATGCAAATAGTTCTTGATGTAGCTTCACCAGGTTGACACTTAATTTTCTGAAGTGCCTTGTGCTGCTCCCAGCATTCTCTCCTGCACTCTTCAGGGAACTCAGCTTGATTCCCTACTGCGATGCTAATGATAGAGTGGGCCTGGCTATGAAGTTGTAGATTGTATTTGTGTCCAGTTATATTTCTGGTGAATGCTTACGGTACCTTGATGGATGTCCAGTCTTGAATTGCTTGATCTGACCAAGGTCTATACCATTTATCACAGTGATAGTGTCACGCAACATGATTAAGGGTATTCCCAATGTGAGGATGTTGATGGACAGTTAATCCTGCAATGTAACAGATACTCTTAGGTCTGCAGCCAATTGATTTGAGGGGCTGGACTGGAGGAGTAATCAGTATTACAGGGAGTATGGTGGTTATTGCAAACTTTGGCTGCCAATGTACAGCTGTGGCATTGCTATAGAAGTATCATGGAAAATAGAGGACCGAAGGCTTAACATTGGGATTTTGAAAGCGCAATTATACATGACTTGGGAAGAGTTTATTTCAGAAAGGAATGCAGAAGAAGGGCATTTTAATTGGGGTAGCTAGCAAGTTGGTTATAATAAAGTGACATGAAGAAAGAAAGGCAAGTTAACAGCAGAGTAGTGAAGAGACCCATTGTATAATTTGAGTTGTATTGTCACTGAATGATCAGATATACATGAATATACGATTGAGAATTACATAGCAAGATAGAAAAGTTTCAGTAAGCAGTAACAGCAAAGAGCCAGTTTTCATTATGTTGCATGATGTTAATGCAGTCACACATTATAGGATCATATTGACATAAAATTCTGAATAGAAATATAGAGAGGGATTGATGCTATAGAAAACATATCATTGAAAAATTCAGGAATCTTAGGGGACTTGATAGGGTAGATGCAGAGAGATATTTCCCTTTTGTGGGATCAGAAGGAAAAATCTCAGAACAAGAGCTGACATATTTAAGTCAGAGCTGTGAATCAACTTCTTCTCTCCGAGTGTAGCAAATCTGCACAATTCTTTGATTAAGAGGGCTGTTGTGACTGGGTCATTAAGTATATTGAAGGCCGAGATAGACAAATTTTGAATCGGTAAGGGAATTCAGGGTTGCTGGGAAAAGACGGGAAAGTGGAGTTGAGGATTGTCAGATTAACCGTGATATCATTGAATGGCAAAGCAAACTCAACAGACTGACTAGCCTACTTCTGTTCCAAATTCATATAATCTTATGCTGGCATTGATGATGACAAAAATCTTCAGAGAAGATGGCAATTACAGATCATAATTACTCCTCTGCCTTCCAATACTCCTGTTACCCAGGAGCAAGCTTGGTATGGGTTAGGCTCTGAGGATACATCACCGTCAGGAAGAAGTTTAAGGTGGCAAAACCAGATGATACCAAAGAAGGGTTTCTGAAGAAAAGGATTCAAGAATGATCCATTGAGGAAGGATAAATTGTGATACAACAAACAGTGCTATTTAAGACTCTTGGATAGTTTTCATTATTCTCTTGACTTATTAGCCCCTTCAGTATGCAATTGTACTCTTGCACAGTCAATGATAAGACTTGACTTTCTAATTGCAGGAAAGGCAGTGTCATCACAACAGTGTCAAATACATTTACTGAAACTGCTGATGTGAATGAAACAGCAATTGAAAACGCTGTGAAGAAAAGTGAGTTTTATGTGTTTAAAAGTAAGTAATGCCTTTTTTTGTTCATTTTCAAGTAGAAATGAAGTAGCTTCTGTCTTGTAAAATGACGCTTACATGCCTACAATGCTACTGTCTTCGGCTCAACACTTACAGGACAACATTCAAGCTTTCTTTGTTGGAGACAGCTGTTCTGTTTTCACTGCTGTGCACAGCTTGCTGACATGAATTCATACATCCAAAATTACCATGATATACATAAAAGGACAGATGATGGCCTAGTGGTATTATTGTTGGACTGTTAATCCAGAGACTCAGATAACATTCTGGGGACCCGGGTTTGAATCCTGCCAATGGCAGATGGTAGAATTTGAATAAAATATTTGGAATTAAGAATCTAATGATGACCATGAATCTACTGTCAGGAAAACCCACTCTAAAAGTGCCATCTTTACCCAGTCTGGCCTACATGTGACTCCAGACCCACACCAATGTGGTTGATTCTGAACTGCCCTCTGGGCAATTAGTGATGAGCAATAAATGCTGCCTAGCCAGTGAAGCCCTCATCGTGTTAATGAATAAAGGAAAATTAGCACCCTCAATGTTTAAAAAGATTAGAAATATAACAGTATACAATAACGAACAAAAGAAAGGCTAATTGAGAATATGAAAACTCATTTATTGATATGAAAGCAAACAGTAAGTGATTGCACAAGTGTATAAAAATCAAAACTTTAGCAAAGCATTGCTCATGCATGAAGCAATAATTGCAACTGTGAAAGACTAAGGTATGACAGAGATGTTAAAGAAAACATTTGTGTTAAGTTTACAAATAATGGCACAAGTAAAAATGCATTGTACCTTAGATGAGGATGATGCAAACATTGGAGAGGATTATTGGGAAAACATGGTTCTAAAAAAATTAGCAAAGCTCAGGGATGATAAGTCATTGGAACTTGATGAGGTCGGAAAATGTTTCTATCCAGCTTAAGTAAACAAATTAGCTTTATTTTTCAAGAAGAATGAGTAGATTAAAACAGATGGTTATAGATCAGTTGTCTTGGCACCCATTGCAGCAATATTTTCATTTTAACATAACATGTCTAGGTGGAACAGAGTAGTTCAGATGAATTTACACCCTGATTTCACCCTTTGATGATTTTAATGGTAAATTGGGAGTGGTGCAAATGAGCACCCAGCCTGAAGTGCATGAGCAATCAGTATAAATTTGCTAAAATCAAGTTATGTTGACCAATTGAAGAGGCTTTTTACAGAAATGACCAACTTGTTCTGTAGAAGGATATCTAGCAGCTGTTTTGTATGTAAATATTCAGAAGGCATTGAGTAGTGACTTTTAGAAATAAAACTGGAAATTATTCCAGTTGGTTAAATAGTTATAGTATGGATCATATGAATGTCATAACATGGGGCTTGATTCCTTATTTTGGCTACAGCAGTCTCAGGGTCTGTCTCCTCCCTCCATCCATGGTAAACATCATAGCATTTTGCTATGGTTCAACCATTTTTGTATTCATTCAGTGATATAGTTCCAATTCAGTACAATGTGTGGTTTGGAGGGGAACTTGTAAGTAGTTGTGTTCCTGTGCATCTGTTGCGCTTGATGTGGAGGTACCGGTTTTGGACTGGGGTGGACAAAGTCAGAATTCACATGACACCAGGTTATAGTCTAATAGTTTTATTTGGAATCACACAAGCTTTTGGAGCGCAGCCAATTTGTCAGGTGCAGTGAGAGAGGCAGGGCACACAGACACAGAGTTTATAGGCAGAGAAATCAAAAGATCATACAACTGGTGTGAGTGGAGTGTCAGATGACAAGTCTCTCTGCAGGTGACCAAGTGTTAGATGGTGCATAAAGTGTTTATAAAGTCAATGTCAGTGCTGTGCTGTCATGACACTCAGACAGAGTCACGGCATAGACACTGAATTGTAGGCTTTGTTCAGAGGCTTTGTTCAGAATCTGTCTGAGTTTTAACCTGGAATCAGGCTGGTTTTATTCCAAAAGCTGGAATTTATAAGATGTCACACTGACTGACTGTGACTACAAATTGTGTATTTTTTCACCAAAATAGAATGCATCTGCAAATAAACAAACATCTTGGATGTTTGAAAGAAAAAGAGACGGAGAGAGAGAGGAAGAGAGAGAGTGTGTGTGTGTGTGTGTGTGTGATTGAGAGAGAGTATGTATGAGTATGAGAGAGTGTGTGTGTCAGTGTGTGTGTGTGTGTGAGAGAGAGAGTGAGTGTAATAATTCAAAAATGTACAAACTAATTAAGGTAGATCATAACAATTTATCAAGGTGATGCTGTCAAAACAGGACAGTATGGAAAATTTTACAGATACAGAACAGTGTAGTGGGGTCACCTGTAGTGCAACATGAACCCAAGATCATGGTTGAGTCCATCTTCATGGGCATGAAACTTGGATATCAGTCTCAGTTTGGCAATTTTACGCTGTTGGGTATCTCGGAGTCTGCCTTGGAGGACGCTTACCGAAAATCGGAAGCTGAATGTCCTTGACTGCTGAAGTGATTCAGCCACTGGGAGGGAACATCGCTGGCTGGTAATTGTTGCGTGGTGTCCATTCTTTCATTGTCGTAACATCTACATGGTCTCACCAATATACCATGCCTCGGGGCATCCTTGCCTGCAGCATATAAGATAGACAACATTGGCCGAGTCACATGAGTATCTGCCATGAATGTGGTGGGTGGTGTTCCCACGTGCGGTGGTAATATCCATGTCATGCAGAGATTGTGTGGTGTTGTGGTTGATGTTGTCCTGAAGGCTGGGTAGTCTGCTGTGAACAATGCTCTGTTTAGGGTGAAAGCTAGAGAAGTACAGCATCATGAGGCCATCCATGGGCTTGTGGTAGAGTGAGGTACTGAGGTGTCCATCTTTGGTGGAGATGTCTATGTCCAAGAATGAGACTGGCTTTGAAGAATAGTCCGTGGTAAGTCTGATGGTGGGACGAAACTTGTTGATATTGCTATGTAGTTGTTTCAGTGGTTCCTCGCCAGGAGTCCAAAGGAAGAAAATGTCAATGTATCTGGTGTATAGCGTTGGCCAGAGATCCTGCACAGCAAAGAAGTCTTGTTTGAACATGTGCATGAAAATGTTGGTGTATTGGGGCGCAAATTTGGTCCCCATGGCTTTTCTGTGTGTCTGGATGAAGAGCTGGTTGTTGAAGGTGAAGACATTATGGTTGAGGATGGAGCGGATGGCGTCTAGAAATTGGCAGTTGTTGGTATTGAGTACTAAGGCTGTCATAGAGTGCTGAAATGTCCATTGTGACAAGAAATATTCCTGGTTTGACCGATCCATGATGTCTTTGCCTAGAAACTCTATGTCCCTGTGCTCTGCTCTCTCACTGCACCTGATGAAGGGGCTGAGCTCCGAAAGCTTGTGTTATTTCAAATAAACCTGTTGGACTATAACCTGGTATTGTGTGACTTCTGACTCTGTTGCCCTTGTCCTTCTTGATAGTAGAGGTTGTGGGTTTGAAAGGTACTGTTAGTGGAACTTTGGTGAAACACCAAGGATTGCTGCAGATCAAATAGCTGAACAAAAAAAAAAGTGAAAGGTAATATATTTAGAAGGCAGAACAGATAACTGAGTGTCATGATAAAGCAGGCAATATTTTCAAATAGATAATTCTTTGACAATTCAAAAACAGGGAGTTAAAATCATAAAGAGGATCAGCGAAATTTAGTTTTTACAACTGTGGGCACTAAGTACAAGAAAAAATGATAAGCTTATAAAGCAGATTTTGTTCAACCCCTATTTAATTATATATTGGATGAAACCTTGGGTGGTCCATGATAAGAAGGGCATTAAAGGCAAGTCTCTGCCATTGACCAATCTGGACAGTCGGAGGAGGCCTCTATAGAAGATACATTTAGTCAAAAGCATGATGGAGCTAATACAAAAATGTCTATTGTAAATGTGCTCCAAATGTGCTGGATAAAGCAACATAATAATCTCAAAAAATGATAGAATATGGGTTGGAAACGTTCTGAAAGGATTAATCTTGAAGAGTGGCAAACCCACAACTCATTTATGATGATGTCATATGAACCTATAGGCAGAATAGAATTAAGACCCCTTGCTGGTCCCTGCCAATAGCCTGGCTTGCATTGTAGTCTGGCTCCACAACACACTCTTGTTCAGATTCTCAATGTAATCCAAGCAGTGGCCACCAGCAAAACAAAACCTGGCAGTGCTAGGCTAACAGAGCTGCCAGCTAATCAGATTGGCTGGCAGCTCTCTAAAGCAATACATCCTCACCAAATGGAGATGGTAGTCTCGACCTTAGACAATCAAAACTCTTTCCAGCATATAATGGCTGCAGGGCAGCTTTTTTTTTGGTGGATGGGCTCCTTAATTACAGGTGTTATTAATCCAAATATCTGATAACAGAAAGAGTTACAGGAGTTAACATACATATCAATTTATCAGGTGTGAATACTTGGCTGAAGTAAAAAGCCCATCACTATACCTGTGACAGATCATGTGGGCAGAACAGATCTGGGTTAATAACTTTGGCTATTTGTACAGAAATAGATTTAAGATGCTACATCATATCACATCACAGTGGCAGTAAATTGCAGTTATCAAACCAAGCCCCCACCCATGCCTCACATCCAAAACCCAAGCCTACCCTGCGCCACCTGCCTCCATCTTCCCCAGCTCCTTCGCGTGTACAATCTGTCCTTGCTTAAAAAGACCCAACAACTTAGCTCTACCATCTGTAATAAGAGATAACAAGGTGTAGAGCTGGATGAACACAGCAGACCAAGCAGCATCAGAGGAGCAGGAAGGCTGACGTTTCGGGCCTAGACCTTTCTTCAGAAATGATTTCTGAAGAAGGGTAAGGCCCAAAACGTCAGCC